TATTGACAGGTATGCACTAATAATGAATCATTTTTCATAATCTGTAAACTAGTTTGAAAACATTGATTAAAATGAAAACATTAATTTTAATATTCACTCTCTTCTTTGATTGTTATTTTTCAGGGTACTGCAGTATTCTGGTATAACCTTTTTGCCAGTGGAGAAGGAGACTACAGCACAAGACATGCTGCCTGTCCAGTATTAGTAGGCAATAAATGGGGTGAGTCTGTAGTAAATAGGACATTTATGTATTATTCTCTTAATAATAAGCGAGTTTGGAAATGTAAACATTTGGCCAACCACATCTGTAACAAACTTTTCTCACTTGTTTTATTCTCTCTTTCTACTCTTTTTTTTTTTTTTTCTCTCCAGTATCGAACAAATGGATACATGAACGAGGTCAAGAATTCAGACGGCCCTGTGCAATGTCCGAGATGGAATGATAACTTCCTTTCTTCTTTTATTTCCTGTTTAGTGTCAGGTTGTCAGTTTTGGTCAGTATGGAATGTGTGTCTGTACAAGGAGTGAATGACTATGCATCTGTCTGTGCAGTTTTTCTATTGTTGTGCCCTTCTACCCAAATATTGAAATGTTGAGGTTTCTGGGCAGCACATGCTGTGACTGTAAGCACCGTGAATATGCAGAGATCCAATCAAACGATTTATTTTAGTTATTTATTTAGGATTGATTTTTAACTCCATGTTTCTTTTGCACTTTCTTTTCTTGTCTTAAACTCCAACAGACCTCTATTTAAAAAAAAAGTTACTTGAGTCTTTCATTTAAACCACTGAACACTCCATAATCATTAATGTAATTGTTACAGGGAACATAGCAAACTGAAAGACCAAACTTTTGAGACCAAAAGATCTGTTACAAAAATATGTTTTACGAATCCCTGAAACACATACAGAAGTACCAAAGAGTATTTTCTTCAATCCTGAGGCCAATGCAAACAACTTTAAGTTGTATTTGTTCTCTCTTTCTCTTTTTTTGTACTTGTGCGTATGGACGTGTGATAGTTTTATACAGAAATAAATTCTATGCTTCGAGTTTCAGTTGTCTTTTGTTTGCCTCAGTTTATAAAAAAATAATGATATGTGTGAGCGCCAAAGGTAAATTATCAGATAAAAAAGCATTTAGCACAGTGTGAGATGGTTTGAAGAGTTTAAAATACTATTGACTGGCCACTCTTGAAGTTATTCTGAGATTGATTTCAAAGCAAGTAAGAATTTCTGACTGAATAATGACGGACGCCTGTTCTAAATTTTAGCATAACAATTTGAGATGAAATTTGAATTTTACTCACCCTTTCTTGGAGAGAGCCCCATGGAATAATTAGTAACTACATTATAGTTCAAAAGTAATTTTTGCATGTTCAAGGACTCATGCGTGTTGTGTCAAAACAATTACAGACAAATCTGAAAATTGGCCATTGAAGTTTTTTATGAAATTGTATTTCCCTGCAACATTTATAAGTGGGAAGTTGAGTACTTTTAGCCCAGTTCTGTAAGGTCAATTGCAGTGTTTTTTTTTTATTCTTCAATTTGAACTTTATTTAGTTCTGAAAATTTTAAATAATAAAAAAAAATGCATTCAAAGTTGTGAACTTTTCGCACAGCCCATGCGAAAGTCTTGATCACCTGTCACATGACAAATTCTCCTGGTATCATTGGGTTTGAACATCAAAAGGTAAAGCAGCTGTATTACCACTGCATGACCTAGTATTAGCTATACCGAATAAAAACAGTTTAAAGTGGCTTTAAACTTTAATCTATGAAATGACAGCATAGATTATTTATACCTAAAACGAACTTTTTAACAGAACACAATAAAAAAAAAATCAAAGCACCTAAATTATGCAGCGAAGCTCGCTTAATTTGAAATGATTTGTGTGATGTATATATATACGTACATATATATATATTACGGCTGTCAGGCAATTAACATTTTTAATCTAATTAATTACATGATGTTTCGATGAATTAATATAATTTAATGTTATTTTTGTGTTAAAGGAGACATATTATGCCCCTTTTTACAATATGTAATATAAGTCTCTGGTGTCCCCAGAATCTGTCTGTGAAGTTTCAGCTCAAAATACTCCACAGATCATTTATTATATTATTTTGAAAATGCCTATTTTGAGTGGAAGCAGAAACACGCTGTGTTTTCATGCCTGTCTCTTTAAATGCAAATGAGCTGCTGATCCCGCCCCCTTTTCCAGAATAGAGCTGCACCATACAGCTAGTACCTGTTTAAAAAACATTAAAAAACATCTGTTTTGGTTCTGATTATAATGTTTATCGCACTGAAATCATGCGTTTTAAACCATATGATTTTAAACATCTGATATACGGTTTTCTGAGTGCACACATCCGAAGCACACGGACAGAAAGCGGATGTCACAGCATGCGAGTACTAAACTAAGTACTCATTCACATACAAGTTTACTTTAAAAACACACATGAGTTACGAAAAACAGTCAGTTATGTCTGTGAAGGTAAACAGCTGGGAAATAAATTGCATGTTTATTTTAGATCTGTGTGGCAGCAGCAATATACAGTAAATAAATCAATAAATCCACTGCTCTGTTGTCTCCTCTGAGGCTGGGACTCTAAATAGTGTTCTGTGCTCGTCTGTGCAGCCAATGACAGAACAGTTAGCATGATTTGCTCAAACTTTCGCCATGGCATTAGAACTAGTACACCATTGTCGCTTGTGAAAACACAATAACGGCGCCTTGGGTTGAAATTTACAGATTAAGGGGCGGTAATATTATAATGAGATCCCTTTGCCATGTCACCAAGGGAGCGAAATCAGACGCACTGGTTCTCTCAGATGCTTGCAGAAAAAGGTTTACCAAAACAAAGTTACTGGGTTAATCTTTTTCATGTTTCCTTGGTTGGTAGATGCACCGGGGACCTGATTATAGCACTTAAAACCTGGAAAAGTCAGATTTTCATGATATGTCACCTTTAAATGAAAAAGTATTAGGTAGACATTACAAATAGTAGCTTTAGAAATAAATATTTTATTTAATTCAACATAAAATGTATTACACATAAACGTTTAGGCTACAATTGCCCAACATAAACTATGAAACATAAAAGAAGATAATTTGAGAAACATCTCAGTTTTCTTTTTTTTTCCCTTCATGCAGTGGAAGTCATTGGTAACCAAAACAGCTTTGTTACCAGCAGTCTTCAAAATACCTTCTTTTATATTCCACAAAAGAAAGTAAGTCATTCAGGTTTGAGTAAAAGATGACATAATAGAATTTTTTGGGTGAACTGTCCCCCCCCCCCTTTATGAAATAAGAAACTAAAACTGCCAGCAGGTGGCGGTAAATTCAGTAAACGGCTCTCTTTATGAATGGGTCTTTGAATCATTGATTCACACGATTCGGCCTAAACGCGGATTCATTCAGAAAAACACCTCTGTGTTGCTCACAGACGCACAACAAAATCTTGCTTTGGCTTTATAGGTAGTATTTTTGTTAGCAAAACTGAGCAAAAAACAGACAATATTTTGTGTTTAAAATATAACAAAATATTAACTTCTTATTTACTGAACTGTTGTATAAAGTCACAATTGCACTATTCTATTCGGAACAAACAGCACTAGTGTGATTGCTCTTGCTGCTCGTGTGATATCGCTTATTATGTGATAATATGAGACAAAAACTCATACAGGATTTTTGCAGCAATATCTTGAATTTTCAAATATTGAGAGTTTAGGAAGCTTTTAAGACTATATTTGTTTAACGTAATGGAGAAGGTTGCTGCTGTGTTAAACTTTGTGTGTGACGTTCCGCGGGTGGAAAGAGAAGAGGTCATGTGACCCATCAGTACTAATTGACAGTCGCTCCTCTCACTGCTGTCACTGCTCGCGCTCTGCGGCCGCGAGACTGGAAACCAACACGAACGAAAGAGAGAGACACCTGAGGCACTGAAGAGTCCACTTACACCAAAAACTCAAGCTCAGAAGCAGAATATCACAAGTTACCCATCAAATAAGAGAATATAACGCTTGAAAATTATGAATCAGATCGAGCTTTCCGTTCCATATGATAATGGATATGAACCGGACGACTACATGATGCAGGAGGAAGAATGGGACCGGGATTTACTACTGGATCCAGCATGGGAAAAACAGCAACGGAAGGTAAGAAAAACAGTTTTAGTTTGCGCTTATATATTATAATTATATAATGATTCACAGATAATTGTTACCCTGAACCACAAAACCAGTCATAAGTAGCACAGGTAGGCCCTATATTTGTAGCAATAGCCAAGAAATCACTGCACGGGTCAAATGATCGATTTTTCTTTTATGCCAAAAATCATTAGGATATTGAGTAAAGATCATGTTCCATGAAGATATTTTGTAAATGTCCTACTGTAAATATATCAAAACTTAATTTTTGATTAATAATATGCACTGCTAAGAACTTAATTTGGACAACTTTAAAGGCAATTTTCTCAATATTTTGATTGATTTTTTTTTTTGCAACCTCAGATTCCAGATTCCAGCCAAATATGTCCTATCCTAACAAACCATACATCAATTGGAAAGCTTATTTAGTCTGCGTTCAGATAATGCATAAATCAAAAAAAAAAAAAAAAAAAAAACCCCCCCTTTATGAAATAAGAAACTAAAACTGCCAGCAGGTGGCGGTAAATTCAGTAAACGGCTCTCTTTATGAATGGGTCTTTGAATCATTGATTCACACGATTCGGCCTAAACGCGGATTCATTCAGAAAAACACCTCTGTGTTGCTCACAGACGCACAACAAAATCTTGCTTTGGCTTTATAGGTAGTATTTTTGTTAGCAAAACTGAGCAAAAAACAGACAATATTTTGTGTTTAAAATATAACAAAATATTAACTTCTTATTTACTGAACTGTTGTATAAAGTCACAATTGCACTATTCTATTCGGAACAAACAGCACTAGTGTGATTGCTCTTGCTGCTCGTGTGATATCGCTTATTATGTGATAATATGAGACAAAAACTCATACAGGATTTTTGCAGCAATATCTTGAATTTTATGGCATATCTGCACTTAAGTAGTTGTTGCCCTGCATCATATTTGCCAAGTCAACTCTATGAAATGTAAGATGATGTACAGTTCTGGGGGCGGGGCCAGTGTGTTAACTGTATTAAAATATTTTAATCGCGTTATTTTTTCATAACTAATTAATAAAGTTAACACGTTAAACTGACAGCCCTCCCTGAACCACAAAACCAGTCATAAGTAGCACAGGTAGGCCCTATATTTGTAGCAATAGCCAAGAAATCACTGCACGGGTCAAATGATCGATTTTTCTTTTATGCCAAAAATCATTAGGATATTGAGTAAAGATCATGTTCCATGAAGATATTTTGTAAATGTCCTACTGTAAATATATCAAAACTTAATTTTTGATTAATAATATGCACTGCTAAGAACTTAATTTGGACAACTTTAAAGGCAATTTTCTCAATATTTTGATTGATTTTTTTTTTTGCAACCTCAGATTCCAGATTCCAGCCAAATATGTCCTATCCTAACAAACCATACATCAATTGGAAAGCTTATTTAGTCTGCGTTCAGATAATGCATAAATCAAAAAAAAAAAAAAAAAAAAAGACCCTTATGACTGGTTTTGTGGTCCAGGGTTAATTAGTTAAGTTATTTTCATGTGTATTTTCTTTGTATATTTTCTTGACGTATTTCCATCTTATTTATTTATTTGTCTGTCTGTCAATAATTTAAGCTATGATTTAGCTTAGATTTAGTTATCAGTTGTTTGCAAAGGAATCCCGTCCCGTTAAGGGCTCTGTGGTCTGTCAGTGTCACGGACGGGTCTGGAGCGCGCGCTGAGGTTGGATGCAGCGGGTACCGAACTAACAATAGCGCAGTAGCTCGCGGCTCTGTGTGTCTGTTTCTGATACGATTGGAATGCGGACTGTCAACAGATGCTTCCAACACTGCATGACGTCCTTGGGATTAGAATGGATGCATGGGCTAATTTTAACTCCAAGGCCCTATAGTTTAATCCGGTGTCCTTTGCCGGGCATTCTTTTGTATAAACAGCACCTTTATTTATTGTGTAGTCTATTATAGTGTTTTCAGATATACACTGAATTGAAGCGGTCAGGAGCTTTACTGACATGTAGGCTACTATAACTGATTTTATATCAAACTCTAGATTTGGCGTATAGATTTGTTTTGGGTTTTAATGGTCAGAATAAACACAAAGGGATTCCTAATGTGGGGTTTTGCTTTGAAGGTCTTGAAACTGTGTCTTAAGCAGGTGATCTTAAACTCTCTTCTTTATCTGAAGAATCCACAGATCCAATCTGATTATAGATTAGATCCACATAAGTGTACTTTCTCTGTCTTGCAGGCTCACTCTCACTTAAACTGATTCATTCATTTTCTTGCTGTAGCAAAATTACAGCACTTCTTTCACTCTGACACTCTGAACAATAAAACATGTACATTGATTATCATTGCTAAACACTTTCAGAACAAATGTAGTTAATTTATGAGTCATTTGTGTATAGTATGAGTCATTATAGTATGACATTCCCAACATGTTTGGTGATTAAACTTACATATCAGACCACGTACAGAGACAATTTTAGTGTAGCAAAAACATAACACAGATCACCTTACCCAGTCAACACGTGAGATCATGCGATGATCACAGTGACATCACACGATCCTCATACTGTGATCCTCACGGTGTGAGTAATAGATGAAATCATTGTGAGTTCACACGATCCTCATACTGTGATCCTCACGGTGTGAGTAATAGATGAAATCATTGTGAGTTCACACGATCCTCATACTGTGATCCTCACGGTGTGAGTAATAGGTGAGCTCATTATGAACTCAAACGATCCTCATGACATCATTGTGAGATCAAATTGTTGACTGGGTAGTGATCTTTTGTTCTCTATATTATTCACACAATGCAGCTCCATTTTGTAAGCAAATAAAGTTATGGAAGGAAGTTAGTCTCCACCTGTGGTCTGCATATAGATCCTCTGTTAAATCTGGTTGAGTTAATAGAACATGATTGCTTGTCCAGGCCTAGTTGGGTCACAGTAGAATTCATTTAGGCTTTAAACTGAACCTCACTGACTGTATTTATACTTAGGAGAGATCCTTTCTTACCAAAGTAACTTACAACATATTTATCAATAGCTATGGCTCAAATGTTAGACGCAGACTTATATTGCTTGTTGATCTATGATGTAAGGGTCTAATAGCTCTTTTTTTATTCTTCCAGAGACCATCGCCCCTCACAGGCATGTTATTGCAGACACACCTTACAGTTTTACAGAATGAATGAAATTCTTTCCTGTCCGATTAGACAGCACAGCAGTGCAATACACACGTTGTATTCACTGCATTCTCACTCATATCTCTCTTCTCAGTGTGAGCCTACTTCATCAGGTCTCTTATCAGAAACAGACTCTGCATAGAGAGCTAAATTTACACTCTTACCTCGCAGGAATGCACTCTGGAGTCCACAGTAAAGCTTTCCATCCCAGCAATGACTGAAACTGCTTTGAGGGTTTAAAAAGATGCTCTATTAAGTCTAAAAAATGGCCAAAGGGTAGCGGTGGATTTGAGAGTGCAACCTAATACGGATGTGGGCAGCAGTACAGCCATATTTTGTTACATGAAATGGTACCAAGCATTACTGGGTCATAACGTGTCCTTTAGATAATGTTTGTCCTTTAGATTAGATTTGCTTGTAATTCCAAATCCAAATGAGAAAATGTTTGCATAAATATCCTATATCCTTGTGATAGTGGAATTATATACAGTAGCAGTATAAAACTGCACCTGTCACAAATATGTGAAGACCCATTTTAATATTGTTCCTCTTATTTTGTTTTGTTTTATTTTATTTTATTTGACTTATTTGATGCCTGAGGAATCTTAATTTGCAGCCCTGCATCAAAGGGTCCAGTATAGAGTTTTATTCTGCTTCTTTATCTGTGCTGTGGCTCTAATCATAAAGTAGTAAAGGTCCTGAAGCTGTAACTCTGTGTGCTCAATAGTACATTATTACTTATTAATCTAATAGCATTAACTTTAGTGGACAAAATGGTATTCACTCTGGAATTTAGATGCTGATGTGTGGGAAGATGTTCCTGAATTTTAAGTGCCCATATCCTTTAAAAGTGGTTCTGGAGAGCAATCATAGGATGATTCAGAGGATGATATACAGCAGCTTGGAGTTTCCATCTTTGTAGCTTATTGTACATGTAGTTACGTGCTGGTTATTTTTGGAGGATGAACTCAGTGTTCAACTCAAGTGTAGATGCTCATGTGTTCAGTACAAGTGTGTGTTGGATTTTTTTTATAATGCCAATGCCATTCTATTGTCTCGTTGACTGATCTGATTACACTTCCTGTTCATAGTTAGAATGTCTTTCAAAGATCATTGATTAAATAAAGTACAGGAGTTTGGACAATTGCAGAATCTCTGCTATATATAGTCATATGTTTTCCCCCATGTTTTTTCATACAGTGTTTGAGAACTAGTTAAAGAACTACCAACTACCTCCTTTTCTTGGCGTAAGCACAAGATAAGATTCATTTTGTTAGCACAGTCTTCTACAGTTACCCATGCAGTGAGGTTTCAAATGCTTTCATTGTATCACAACAAACCAGTTAGGACTTAAATCTGGTCTAATCCCACACGTTTGGCTTAGTAACTATGTTTTGTGCAAGGATTCTGCATTTGATGAATGTTGAGTCTAGGAGTGTAGGAGAGAGTGTCTATGTGAGGTTGGAAAACTGTATGTTGATGTATATTGTACTTGTTTCCCAGACATTCACGGCTTGGTGTAACTCTCACCTGAGGAAAGCTGGGACACAGATTGAGAACATAGAGGAAGACTTCAGGAATGGCCTCAAACTAATGCTACTGCTTGAAGTCATCTCAGGTAAATTCATTTCAAGTTCATTTGTATAGTGCTTTTCACAATACATATTGTTTCAAAAAAGCTTGCATGCATGTTTCAATACTGCAATCAGAAAGTATTCTGTTATCAGTCAGAGATGAGTGTGTCAAAGTAAAATAATTGGTCAAGCAAACACAATGAACATGGCAATAATTGCAGCTTGTCTTCCTAATGATTACAATATAAGGATGATATTTGACAGTTTTGTATGTTCAAAGTAAACATTCCTTAACAACATGTAATATCAACTATATGCCAATAAAAGTTTTCATGACACGTTGTATTTTGGCAGGTGAGAGGTTACCCAAGCCTGACAGAGGAAAGATGCGTTTTCACAAGATAGCCAATGTCAACAAAGCCCTTGATTTTATCACCAGTAAAGGAGTGAAACTGGTCTCCATTGGAGCTGAAGGTATGCTTTATTGCACAACTGTAGTGTTACCTGGATTTCTGGGATTTTATAAATAAATAAATTGAATAAAGAAAGAAATTAGGGGATGCAGGTTATTAATTTTGCATGTCACATAGCATATTAAAATTTTTTATATATCCTATATATATATATATAAAAAAAAAAAGCTTAGCCCTTTATTTTACTGAGCAATGATTTTCCTGTCATATTTTTGCAGAAATTGTGGATGGAAATGTGAAAATGACTCTTGGAATGATCTGGACCATCATCCTTCGCTTCGCTATTCAGGATATCACTGTTGAAGGTAAAGTCCCAAACATAAAATGCCACACAACGTCTGCACAAATAGCAAAACTATATTATTATTATTATTATTATTAATAGCACATTTCACAACCCTTAGTTATGTGTAAATCATTTTATAGCAAATAACAACAATTAGATCAGTCATGTGTGAATTATATAATGATTCTCAAATCATCTTTCAGAGACTTCGGCTAAAGAAGGGCTTCTGCTGTGGTGTCAGAGGAAGACTGCCCCTTACAGGAATGTCAATGTTCAAAACTTTCATGTCAGGTAAGGCTATTTTTCGGGTGCAAAAATGTTGAAAAATGATTTCAATGTTTTTTATTTTAATATGAGTGAAAAACAGATACTATTATTTTCAGTTATATAGTTTAAGATTTTATGTTAATTCCAACATGACCCTCTCTCTCTGGTGAAGCTGGAAGGATGGCTTGGCGCTGTGCGCTCTCATCCACAGGCACAGGCCTGACCTCATTGACTACGCCAAACTCAACAAGGTCTCAAGTGTGACCCCAGATTAACCTTTGATCCTTTGGGACATTTGATCTAACAGTCCTATCATAGTAGTGAAATAACATGTCTGCCACAACATCCTGATGTTCCCTTTTGTTGATATCACTGCACAGATGGTGTGTGTTTACAGTATGTGTGTCTAACATCTTCATCACACTCAACAGTTCATCACACTCCCACCCTCAGGAATCTAAGGACCTTCTCTAAAAACGAAAAGCTTGACTTTTAGTCTGTAGTAGATCCACATCTTGTTTATTGCATGTACAATCAGAAATTCACTTTTTTTTCTTTTTTGTGGCTTCAATAGCTGGAAGGATGGACTGGCCTTCTGTGCACTTATTCACAAACACAAACCAGAACTGACTGATTTTCATAATCTGGAGGTGGCACAAGTGTTTATGCTATTGGATGTGTTGTTTTCCATAATAAAATGAATTTAATAGATTAGGGGTGCTCAGTCCTGCTGGACATCTATCTTCTTGCAGAGTTTAGATCCTGTACTTGGAGAAAGCTATCTGTTAGCATTGCCATTCATCTCAGTGGCAGGTTGCATCCAGAACAGCGCTCCAGGCAAATGAAATGTTGATTAGAAAACATTTATAAAAGATGAAACAATACTTTGCCTGTGTTTACATTTTAGCTAGTAGTATCTCAATTGCCTATTTGTGTGTGCTATGTTTGTGCTTGTTACAATAAATTTTTAGCTCAAATGTGAGAGTTAGCAAGAATTTTATGCTAGGTAGTGATTAAGACTTGATATAGTGATTACGTTTTGATTAGCAGGTTTCATGCATGTTTTATGGTTGGAGCTGAACTCTGCAGGAATGTTGTAGGAGCTGCATTGATATTCTCTGTGAAACTTGGAGAAGTTTTGTTGATGGCAAATTTGCGTAGCTGACATAACAGCCATTACTCCAGTCTTTAGTGTCACATGATCCTTGAGAAGTGATCCACATACCAGGAGCACCAGAACTGTTTCTAAAAGATTCTTTTTAAGAATCCATATTAGAACTTATTGTATCTAATGGCCCTTCAAAGTGGTATTTAAGCAGTTCTAGAAGCATGTTGTTAGTTACTCCAGTGACATGTTAGATTTGATTTCATTGCTCCCAGCTTAGAATAGGGAATCATAAATGCATGAACAGAATGAGACAATGTTTCCAGCCAAGTTCCAAGTCGGTGTGAATCAGTGTATGTGTACTATGGTTTTAATTAGTTGGTTGGATCAGACCGCTGAAGATTAAGGATTTATTTAGCTTGTCAGGGTCAGTCAGTTCCACAGTGAGTGACTAAAAGACCCCTCACACGCACAGACATTCCTATCCCTTTCAGCTGTTACTGACGGCTCCAGGTGAGCTTGAATGGGGTAATCCAGTGTTTAGTATGGACCCCAGTGGTCCCAGTTTGGACACAAGCATCAGGAGGGTCCAGGACCCTCTGGATCCCCTGCAGCTGTTGATGTCCTGCAATGCAGCTTTTATTGACACAGAGAACAAAAGCTTGATCCCCAAACTCTGCTTACACACACATTCACAAATACAAGCATTTATAATAACCATAAACATGCACATTTAGGATGCAGAATGGAAGAATTGATTCTTGCATAATGTTTTTGAAGACTTTTGTGCTCACCAAGGCTGCATTTTTTGATTAAAAATACAAACAGTAATATTGTGAATATTGTTACAATTTCAAAATGAACTCTTTTCTATTTTAATATTCTTTAAAATGTAATTTATTCCTGTGATGGCAAAGCTGAATTTTCAGCAGTCATTACTCCAGTCTTCAGTGTCACATGATCCTTCAAAAATCATTCTAATATGCTGATTTGGTGCTCAAGAAACATTGTATTTTTATTGTCAATGTTGAAAACAGTTAATATTTTTGTGGAAACCTTAAAAAAAAATTCAGGATTCTTTGATGAATAGAAATTTCAAAAGAACAGCATTTTTTGAAATAGTCTTTTGTTTAATAAATGTTTTCTCTGTTACTTTTGATCAACACAATGCATCCTTACTAGCTAAACTTATTACTTTTGAACAGTAGTGTAGTTATTTTTGTATTTAAAGGGCAACCAGTCTTTCAGCTTTGTCAGTGCTTTCTTTTCAGATAAATATGAACTAATTTAACATTTGAAATTCTTTTTTTTTTTTTTGTCTTAAGAATTTCAGAGCTAAACTTTTTCTCTCTCCTCTAGTAGCACCTGAATGTTGACACTCACTTTTGCATGGAAATAATTTAGATTTATATTGATTTAGTTTTTTGGTGATATATATTATTTCTTATGCTTTATTAATTGGTGAAGCAGTATGCCTTTTCTCTCCTTTTGTCTTTATGCAGGATGATCCACTGGGTAATCTGAATTTGGCATTTGACATTGCTGAAAAACATCTGGACATCCCCAAAATGCTGGATGCAGAGGGTAAACGATAAGCATAGAAATTTCCACAATATTCCATATACCATTCCAGCTGAATACAAAGCTTTCAGCCAGTGAAACATTGAAAATATGTATTTCACAAAAATGTTATGGTATCAGAAAGCTTGTGACATAAGACCTTAAGACACTATTGCCTAAAATATGGCATCTACTAGAATTGTCTATATGTCACAGTTGACTGTGGCAAAGAAAAGGTCCCACACATTTATTTTGGTAGGAAACCTTGGAAGGAACCAAGTTCTAGACTCAGGCTAGACCCATGTTCCTTACAATAAAGCAGCAAAAAGACAATACTGTAAAAACTAGATGCAAATTCTAAAGATTTCAAGCCACAAACTTCCTGTTTTTTAGCTTTATAATATTACAAAATGTGGCTTTTGCTCCACAGTCCTAGTTAGCAGCGGTCTTGACGTATACCTCCTGTTATTATAACACCTTTGCAGAGGCTCAGAAGGTACATCTGATCCCTGAGCTCATTCTAGGAGTGTTAGAAATATAGCTATGCCTGAGTGTACAGCTCCTTCAGTCCACGTAGGCGTATCCTCATTTTCCACTTTAGCAGATGAACATGACTTGTGTTTTCTTCCCTTGCACCTTATTTCCACCTTAAATGTATGTAGTTGTCCCTTTGCTCATCTCCCCTCCCTGCAGACATCCTGAACACCCCAAAGCCTGATGAGAGAGCTATTATGACATATGTGTCTTGCTTCTACCATGCCTTTGCTGGAGCTGAACAGGTATTGAGTTTTGCATGTGCTAGATTGAGCAGACCAACTATCTTTTTATCCATCTCTACCTTCAATCTTACTGTGTTTCTCTCCCTCAGGCTGAAACTGCTGCTAACAGGATCTGTAAGGTGCTGGGAGTGAATCAGGAAAATGAGAAGTTGATGGAGGATTATGAAAGACTGGCTAGTGAGGTCAGGAGACATAATCACACATCCGATACACTCCAAGCACTGCACACAGGCACATATTACACATAAATATTCCATCTACTCTCTAGCTGTTGGAGTGGATCAGGCGTACCATTCCCTGGCTGGAGAATCGTGTGCCGGAGAAGACCATGTCGGAGATGCAGCGGAAGCTGGAGGATTTCCGAGATTACCGCAGGATGCACAAACCTCCCAAAGTGCAGGAGAAGTGTCAACTGGAGATCAGCTTCAATACCCTGCAGACTAAACTCCGCATCAGCAACCGACCTGCATTTATGCCCTCTGAGGGCAAGATGGTTTCGGTGAGAGTTTGACCCACACATACATGACAAACCTTTACTTAGATGTCTAATTAGACGCAACCACTTTGCTTATTTATTGATTGATTGATTTATTTTCAAATGTATTTATTTAATAGGTTTTTATTTTAATATGTATTTTTATGTTATTTTTGTTTATTTTTGTATTTATTGATTTTTATATTTATTTATTTATTGAAAATTTGTTCTTTTGAACATTTTTATTTTAATATGCAGTTTATATGATCTTATTAGGTTTATTTAAATAGTTTTTATATTAAGATGTATTATATATTTATTTTATTCTTATTTTTATTTAGCTATTTCTTGTATTTTGTAGTTATTTTTATTTTTATTTTATTTATCTAACTAACTAGCTTTGGGGCATTTTTCAGGAAATTATTTCCCCAAAATATTGTTTTTTAGGTATATAGCTCACAAACACATACCCGAATAAACCAGTAAGGTGAACATGTTCGCAGCTTCTCATTGGTTTCATAGTTGATGTTTTTTTGGTATGTGTTGTCTGTGTAGGACATAGCAAGTGCATGGCAGGGGCTGGAACAGGCAGAAAAGGGCTATGAGGAATGGCTGCTGACGGAAATCAGGAGACTGGAAAGATTGGACCATCTAGCAGAGAAATTTAGACAGAAAGCTACCAACCATGAGACCTGGGCTGCAGGTGAGTCCTGAGTATGAAGTGGTGTCTGCACTTTCATAAAAATGAACTGTAAGCCACTTTGGAAAGTCCACTAAATGATGCATAATATATGCTTTACATGTGTTTTGCAATAGGTAAGGAGGAGATGCTGACCCGGAAGGACTACGAGTCAGCATCTTTACTGGAGGTCCGAGCTTTGCTGAGGAAACACGAGGCATTTGAGAGTGACCTTTCTGCCCATCAGGACAGAGTCGAGCAGATTGCTGCTATTGCTCAGGAGCTCAAGTATGACCTTTTAGACTTAATGTCTTCAAAAATGCTTTGTACTACCTTTTTTGCTGATCTTCATTTCATTTAGCTGTTTGAATGTAAACTTTGGTATGTACATTACCATTCAAAACCTTGGGGTCAGTAATATACTTTTTTTTTATTAAGACATTTATTCAGCAAGGATGTATTAAATTGTGACAGTAAAGACTTTTAGATTATTACAAAAATGTATTGAAATAAATGTTCATCAAAGAATTCAGAGAAGTATCACAGTTTCCAAAAATATATTAAGCAGCACAACTCTTTCAACATTGGTAATAATAAGCATATTAGAATGATTTCTAAAAAATCATGTGAGAGTGGACTGGAGTAATGGCTGCTGAATATTCAGCAAGAATATATTACATTTTAAAATATATTACAATGAAAACAGGTATTTCAAATTAATAATATTTCACAATATTTCAGTTTTTATTGTATTTTGATCAAATAAATGCAGCCTTGGTGAGCGTAAGAGATATTTGAAATAATCTTACCAGCATCAAATATTTGAATGGTGGTGCACAAGTACTTTGTCCTTGTCACTAATCTGTCATGTTCAGTTTCTCATCACCTTACAGGGTCTTGATAGCTTCATATCTCCCACACCACAGAACTACCACATTTTGCTATAAGTTTGATTGCATCATATAATAATTGCTGTTAATAGTGTTCATCGTCTGTTTTATTACGTCTTAAATTGATTTTTCCGTACTGCTGGTTCATCTGGTCAGAGGAGAACTGGCCCCCCGACTGAGCCTGGTTTCTCCCAAGGTTTTTTCTCCATTCTGTCACCGATGGAGTTTTGGTTCCTTGCCGCTGTCGCCTCTGGCTTGCTTAGCTGGGGACACTTCATTTCCAGCGATACCGTTGACTTGATTGCAAAGATACTATTTAAACTGAGCTGGATGTTGACATCACTGAATTCAATGATGAACTGTCTTTAACTGAAAAATGTGTTTACTATTGTCATTTTGCATTATTGACACACTATTTTCCTAATTAATGCTGTTCAGTTGCTTTGAAACAATCTGTATTGTTAAAAGCGCTATATAAATAAAGGTGACTTGACTTGACTACTTATCCATAACTAGACATCCATATACACGCTGACTTTCTATTTTAACATTCATTATCTCCCTGCAGGCTTGGTTAGTGTGTGTGTGTGTGTGTGTGTGTGTGCGCATGTATTTAGTAAGTGACTGACAGCTTCTGACTTTTCTGTTGTCTCAGTAAATACAGGGTGATATTACTGATAATCTATGGAGCATACTTATGATGATTAGCATACTAATGCTAGTTTAGACACAAAAAGCAAAGGAAGGAAATGTAGATAACCAATCATAACAGTAGTCTTAGAGGTACAGAATCAAAAACAGTCTGTTTTCTTCAAATACGTAGAGAGAGGGTGGAAAATGCTCATGAAAAACTAAATTGTCAGATGGTTGTCAGATGGTCTGCATCACCAAACTTGATTCTGGAGGGCCGGTGTCCTGCAGAGTTACCTCAACACACCTGGCTGGAAGTTTCAAGTATACCCAGTAAGACCTTGATTAGCTGGTTCTGGTGTTTTTAATTAGGGTTGGAGCTAAACTCTGCAGGACTGAGTCTGGTGACCCCTGGTCTACATAAAAAGAAAATGATACAAAAGTCTAGAATATTCCCACATTAAAGGGATAGTTCACAATTCAAAAATGAAAATTCTGTCATTACTCACCCTCATGTTGTTCCAAACCTGTTCATCTCCGGAACACAAATTCAGATATTTTTGATGGAATATGAGAGCTGTCTGACCCTGCATAGACAGCAAGGATCCTTACACGATCAAGGTCCAGAAACATAGCAAGGAGATCGGTAAAATAATCCATGTGACATCAGGGGTTCAACCGTAACTTTACGAAGCTACTGGAATACTTTTTGTGTGCAAAAGAAAAAAAATAACGACTTTATTGAATAATTCGTCTCCTCCGCGTCACCCTGGTGCCATTTCGGAGAGTATCCACTGAACGTAAACAGCGTATGCTGTTGTGTCAGCTGTGCCACGCGCACAAAAAGTATTCTCGTAGCTTCGTAAAATTACGGTTGAACCCCTGATGTCACATGGATTATTTTACCGTTTCTGAGCCTTGATCGTGTAAGGACACTTGCTGTCTATGGGAGGGTCAGAGAGCTCACGGGATGCATCAAAAATATCTTCATTTGTGTTCCGAAGATGAACGGAGGTCTTACGGGTTTGGAACTACATGAGGGTGAGTTATTAATTAACATATAATTAATTTTCATTTTTGGGTGAACTAACCCTTTAATGCAAAGTTAGTGAGTACTACATCTATTAACCACTAGACGGGGCTCAATAGCAAATGCAACATTTTGACCTAAAGTCTTTTTTTATCTTCTGTTTTATCTTTCTAAAGTGAGCTGGACTATCATGATGTTGCATCAGTGAATCAAAGGTGTCAAAGTATTTGTGACCTCTGGGACCAGCTGGGTACACTCACTCAGAAACGCAGAGAGGCTTTGGAGGTATGCTGTCTGTCTCCCAACCTGTTTTGTCTAGAAAATTGTTGTTAAATCAAAGTATTAAAAGGTTTGATTTTGAAGTGTTTAATTTCTGCAGAGGACAGAGAAACTTTTGGAGACGGTGGAGCAGTTGTTTCTGGAATACGCAAAGAGATCTGGTCCCTTTAATAACTGGATGGAGGGAGCCATGGAAGACTTACAGGATATGTTCATAGTGCACATCATTGAAGAGGTCCAGGTACACACGACTTACGTGCTTATGTTGTTAAACAGACTAGTATTTACACAGTTCTCAGCTGTCAAATGTGTAATACTTTCTGTCTTTTTCTAAGATTTTTTTATGTTTTTGAAAGAAGTCCCTTATGCTCACCAAGGATACATTTATTTTATATAGAAATTCAGTACAAACAGTAACATTTTACAATTTAACATTACAATTTAATTACTGTGTTTTCTGTTTTAATATACTTTAAAATGTATTTTATTCCTGTGATGCAAAGCTGAATTTAAGGAGCCATTACTCCAGTCTTCAGCGTCACATGATCCTTCAGAATCATTCTAATAATTTGATTTGGTGCTCAAACATTTCTTATTATCAATAAAGAAAAAATATTGCTCAACATTTTTGTGGAAACCAATGTTCCAAAGAACAGCATTTATTTGAAATGGAAATATTTTGTAACAATGTAAAAGTTTTTACTACCATTTTGATTAGTTTAATGCGTCCTTTCATTTCTTCAAAAAAATCATACTGACCTCAAACGTCGAATGATAGTGTATATGTGACCCTGGACCACAAAACCAGTCTTAAGTATACATTTTTCAAAATTAAGGTTTATACATCATCTGAAAGCTGAATAAATAAGCTTTCCATTGATGTATGGTTTGTTAGGATAGGATATTTGGTCGAGATACAACTATTTGAAAATCTGGAATCTGAGGGTGCAAAAAATTCAAAATATTGAGAAAATCGCCTTTAAAGTTGTCCAAATGAAGTTCTTAGCAATGCATATTACTAATCAAAAATTAAGTTTTGATATATTTACAGTAGGAAATTTACAAAATATCTTCATGGAACATGATCTTTACTTAATATCCTAATGATTTTTGGCATAAAATAAAAATCAATAATTTTGACCCATACAATGTATTTTTGGCTATTGCTACAAATATACCCCAGCGACTTAAGACTGGTTTTGTGGTCCAGGGTCACATATATCAAAACAAGTTATCCATTGTGTGTAGACTCTGATAGATGCTCACGAGCAGTTTAAGGCCACACTTCCTGAGGCGGATGCAGAAAGGCAGGCGATCCTTGGCATTCAGCAGGAAGTCCTGAAGATCTTCCAGAATTATGGCATTCGTGGAGACCTCACTAACCCCTACAGCACCATAACTACAGAAGAGATTGCCATCAAGTGGGACAAGGTCAAACACACCCCTCAGACCTTGCTTCTGTTCCATTACGGCACAGAAAATGTAGAAGTGTTCTTTAGTTATAACTCAAATTTATCTGTTAATATCTAAGCCATTCTAAACAATTCCTGTGATCTTCAATACAAAATCATAAGCATGATAATGATGTGTGTTTGTGTATTCAGGTGAAGAAACTGGTTCCCCAGCGTGACAGTGCACTGCAGGAGGAGTTAGCGCGACAGCATGCTAACGAAAGGCTCAGACGCCAATTTGCTGACCAAGCCAACCTCATCGTACCCTGGATACAGGCCAGGATGGAGGTGAGTGGCTTCAGCCATGTGATAGACCATAAGACCGGTTCTTTTATCTATCTATCTATCTATCTGTCTGTATATCTGTCTGTCTGTCTGTCTGTCAGGAAATTGGTCGTTGTTCTATGGCTATGGGTGGGACTCTTGAGGACCAGATGACGCAGCTGAAGCAGTATGAGCATGTGATCGTCAGCTATAAACCCAACATCGACAGACTGGAGGGAGATCACCAACTCATCCAGGAGTCACTTATCTTTGACAACAAACATACTAACTACACTATGGAGGTACACACACGCACAATTTTTTTCAGCAAGGATACATAAAATTGATGAAAAGTGACAATAAAGACATTTTATAATGCTATAAAAGATTTGTATTAAAAAAAAAATGCCGTTCAATTTATTCAAAGAATGTGAATGTGATTTTTACTGCTTAAAAATCAGCTTGGCCATCACAAGAATAAATTGCATTTGAAAATGTATTAAAATAGAAAGCGTTTATATTAAATTGTAATAATATTTCACACTGCTACTGTTTTTACTGAATTTTTGATCAAATAAATGCAATCTTGGTGAGCATAATAGACTTCTTTCAAAAACATTAAAAAAATCCCCAAACTCTTTAATCAAGTGTACATTGAGATGTAACAAATCATGATTTTACAACAGCATTTCTCTTTCCTCTGCAGCATATTCGTGTTGGCTGGGAGCTCCTTTTGACTACGATTGCTCGCACTATTAACGAAATTGAGACTCAAATTCTGACACGTGATGCAAAGGGCATCAGCCAGGAGCAGATGAATGAATTCCGATCCTCTTTCAACCATTTTGATCGGGTGCTGTACTCAGCCTTTGTGTACTCTTAACTACTCACCTGTTTCCTTGTTGAATGGATGCTATGCTAATCATCTAATCATAACTTTCCTTGTTGAATGGATGCTATGCTAATCATCTAATCATAACTAATCTAATCATAACCATACTAACTGAACTGAACCCTTTTCCACTTTGACTGAGCATTATACAAACATCTGTAAGTCTCTCTTATTTCAGCTGAGACACATTCATTTCATATTTGCACTGTGTTATGTCTTGCCTTCACTTCTTCAGAGGCATCACAGTGCAAGAGTGGTAATTATCTTTCCATTCATTTAGTGGAACAAATTTAGCTTGACATGAGAGATCATTTGCAGTATTTAGTATGTCTAAAATCAGATGTGAAATAGATGCAATTTGTGCTAAAATCAGAGTTAAATGGCACTAATTTGATGAATATAGCACTTCTAGTTTTATAATTTCTGCTCACATTCTGTGCATGTTTTTGTTTGTTGTGGGTACTTGCTCTCGGGAGGAGAGGGGTAAACTCAGGACTGATGAGTTTAAAGCATGCCTGATCAGCTTTGGGCATTTAGGAAGTGACAAACAGGTACTAACCAACATGACCTCTAACCTTTGACCCCAATGTGTAGTTCTTTGCATAGATTTATGCATATGTATTCCCTGGGCAGCAGTATATAGTTCTAATGTACCTCTCTTGTGTTTTTTTTTTGTTTGTGGTTGTGTGCTGTCTCTTTGTGTGTGCTTCTGTGTTAGGTGCTGTCTCTTTCTCTACTCCACATTGCATTTCGACCATGTCACTGCGTGACCCACACACTCTCAACCTTTGCCCTTTAACCTTTCCCATGCAGAAGAAGAATGGGGCGATGGATTCTGATGACTTTAGAGCCTGTCTAATCTCGATGGGTTATGATCTGGTAGGGCCTTAAATGGGGTTCACTGATTATGAACCAAAAAAAAAAAACTTCTTGTTTTCCAGTATAAAATATCTAGGCAAAATACTTTTTTATTTTTATTATTATTTTTATTATTATTATGCTCAGTTAATTTTGATTTTATTTTAATTTAAAGATCAAATCTAATAAAGTTTTGTGTTTATAATTAAGTTAATTCTCAAAACAAGAAACTATTTAAAATCTAAAATTATATAATAAAATATTTTATTAAGCATAATGAATATACTTTCTTAAAATAAGTCATTATTTTATAAAATTTTTTGTCAAATATATATATATTTTTTATTATTATTATTTTGCTATTTTTTAATGTTAAAATAGTACAGTGGATATATTATCTTAAAACATCTCTCATTTTATACATTTTTTTGTTTGGCAAATACATTTATTTTTATGGATTTTTTTCCCCGGGGAAAAATGTAGATTATATGTATAAATGATGCATAAATAGACTATTAAATATATTTATATATTTATATTTATATATATTTACGAGGTATGTATCCACAAAAACGAACAAAAACAAGCAGTCTTTTTCTAACCTTGTGTCAAAGTCCCAATTAAAATAATAATAGTTATAATAATAATAATATCAATTGTAAATCAGCAAACCAAAATAAGGAGACTAAGCTCCTAGAAGCGTAGCACTGAGAGTTCAGTCAGCTTTCTCCAAAGGGAGTCCAAAGCATCAAAGCCTCAATCCACCAGGTGGCGCTGCAACACACGTTGAGAAACTTTTTTTTCCTTCATATTAAGTCCAAAAAAATAATAGTTCCAAGAGCTCAGTAAGTCAATGGGGACCATCAGTTGTTTTGTTACCCACATTCTTAAAAAACTTATATATATATATATATATATATATATATAATATATAATATATACAATTATATCATATATAAAATATTATGTTAAAATATTAATATATGTTAAAATAGTACAGTGGATATATTATCTTAAAACATCTCTCATTTTATACATTTTTTTGTTTGGCAAATACATTTATTTTTATGGATTTTTTTCCCCGGGGAAAAATGTAGATTATATGTATAAATGATGCATAAATAGACTATTAAATATATTTATATATTTATATTTATGTTAAAAATGTGTGTGTGTGTGTGTGTGTGTGTGTGTATATACAGTATATATATATATACATGTATATATTTAATTTAAATGCTATAAATGTATGTATGTGTGTGTTTTTTCAGGGTGAGGTGGAGTTTGCCCGGATCATGATGCTGGTTGATCCAAACACTTCAGGTGTTGTGTCATTCCAGTCTTTCATTGACTTCATGACAAGAGAGACAGCGGACACAGACACAGCTGAACAGGTCATCGCTTCCTTCAGGATCCTCGCTGCAGACAAGGTGTGTGTGTTGCTTGCTTAACCTTAACAGTTCTCTTCAGAACAGTCTTTTGTACCTGAAAAATTATCTGATCTGTTGTTTATTGTGTTTTGAATAGCCATATATTCTGGCAGATGAGTTGAGGCGAGAGCTTCCTCCAGACCAGGCAGAGTACTGCATCAGCAGGATGCCCCCATACACCAGCCCCGGGGCCCTGCCTGGAGCCCTGGACTACACTGCCTTCTCCACGGCCCTCTACGGAGAGAGTGACCTTTAACTCTCTCAACAGCTCTGACCTTTTTCAATCCCATCACACTTGTAAACCAAGTAAATTCTTTATTCATCAGCCTCAAGAAATTGAGACATGGCAAATAAACAAAATGAGCACAATTATTTTATAAAATTTTTTGTCAAATATATATATATTTTTTATTATTATTATTTTGCTATTTTTTATTATTATTTTTATTACTATTTTATGTGAGTAGCATTTTTTAAAGATGATATCTAGTAAACTTTTGTGAAGTTCATGCTCAATACAAGAAACAACTACTTTGCCAATGGGGTTAGAAAAAACTTATATATATATATTCAGGATCCTCGCTGCAGACAAGGTGTGTGTGTGTGTGTGTGTTGTTTAACTTTACTTTATCGATTTTCTTCAGAAAAGTCTTGCCTGAAAAATTCTTTCCATATTCCTTATCTGTTGTTTATTGTGTCTTCTGCAGCCATATATTTTGGCAGATGAGTTGAGGCGAGAGCTTCCTCCAGACCAGGCAGAGCACTGCATCAGCAGGATGCCCCCATACACCAGCCCCGGGGCCCTGCCTGGAGCCCTGGACTACACTGCCTTCTCCACGGCCCTCTACGGAGAGAGTGACCTTTAACTCTCTCAACAGCTCTGACCTTTTTCAATCCCATCACACTTGTAAACCAAGTAAATTCTTTATTCATCAGCCTCAAGAAATTGAGACATGGCAAATAAACAAAATGAGCACAACTTCAGTTTTTTAGTCTCAGTTGATGTATGTTGCTAGATGATTGATATGAAATGTTTAAGTCAATACACATGTAATGCAGTCTGGAAATGAAAAGAATGCAATTAATAAAAAAATGATCTGTAACAGTCCAAAGTAGTTGTGAATTTTAGATTCACTTTCTCATGAATTGTTGAATCCATGGCATGGGACACTATTTTACTGTCTTTCATGTAGGCTATGTATAATAGAGAAAATTTACAAAGACTTTGTCACTTGAATTACAGCCAAATCAGTAGTTAAGTTACACTAAATTCAGAATTCAGTACTTTTAAGTACATTATAGTTTTTTTTTGCATTTTACACTGATCTTTTCCCAATCGCACTTTTCCAGAATGAAATCTATTTTGTGTGGTAGTGTTAAACCCACAGTATGTAAGATTTTGCACATTTGAATTATCTCCAAATGAGAAAGATTCACCTAACCATTGTGCTTTTCTTGTTTTTCCTCTGGTACTGTAGTGTCCCTGGTTAAAAAAGCAACATGAATAGTAGCTCAACTCAATTCTCCACAACATAATCACCTAAAAACCTAACAGTGCATAATTTCATATACAGTAACAGTTTAGATAAGGTAGGAAGAGGTGACTTTGTCATTCTCACTAGTGAGTCAGATAATTAAGAGCACCATTGGCTGATTTGGTTGTACATGACATTTTGAATATTGCGAATGCTTGGAACATTTTCTTAAGTTTGGTGATTACATGAAGTATCAATCTATGTACTACTACAGGGCTTGTCACATAAAGAAAGCAAAAAAACAGAAATTATTATGATATAATACTAAATTTACAGTTGTGGGTAAAAGTATGTGAACCCTTTGGAACGACAGACAAACACCGCCTGCTTAACACACCATTGTCTGTATTAAACACAGCATGCAAACCATTCACAGTGAAGAGTGAAAAAGTATTTGAATCCCAGAATATCAATCAAGCTTTCACGAATACAACAAATTTCTCATTAAAAAGTCACACTAGTTCAGTGTACAATGACAGTGCATTTGAATGATTTTTGGTCAATTTGTTAACCTATCAAAATAGTTTTATGGGGAGACACTGCAGGCAAAAACACTGTTTTTTCATGCACCTGTCAAGTTTGAGATTTTGGGCTTTTTGGTTTTTCATAAAGTGTTTTTTTCAGACTAGTGGAAAGAAAACATCCAAAAGACACTGTTAAGTGTTTATTTTATAGCACTTTACCTATTTGTGTCAATAGATTTAAATTGCAATACATATTTTTAAAGGCCGTTTTCTCAAAATGAGTTTTTTCTCCTACACTGAGCCATAAATCTCCACTTCAGTAGCACTTACACACACCAAACTTTACATTTTTATTCCTGTCTATATCCTGAAGGTTTTTACAGAGGGATTTGTTCATATATAATTTGCTTGATTATATACAACATTTTATTCCCCCCAAAATTGTGAAAATATAGTGTTTTCTGTCCATTCTAAGCATTTTCTGAATTATGGAGTGACAAAAATGAGATACCCTACATTCCCTCTGTAAAAACTTTAGACTCTAATATGTCAAAACAATTAAATGAGAATTTTGAAACTGACATCATCCAGTGTTTAGATTTTTCTATAGAAATGTATGCAAATTAGTGCATATTTAATTAAACAATGTCTCATTTGCATATTTAAACCTAACATTTTAGAAAACTTGTAATAAAAAAAATGTTTGCAATTATCAACGTAATCAATCAGCTGGGTAAGTAAGGCGATAACTATTAGTTATTTTTTTACCCTATTCACCTGCAGTGTCTCGCCATGAAAAATGGTGATTTGTGAATGTCTGCTGTTGAATTCTATAAACAAGAAAGCCACATGTGTGTTTTACAGTGACATAAATGAAATAAACCTCATGAAAAGGCCAAGTCTCTGCTTTTTTAATTTAATGTTTTATTGAAGTGTAATTAACATACTGTAGGCCTAAAATATGTATGCATAATAGAGTATTTTATATAATATAGCATGTTTTACTTTTATAAAATACAAGTTTTAGTAGTTTTTACTTGTATAATATATTGAAAGTAAATTCTTTTTTTTTTCTGCTTTTCTTTTCTTTTTCCTTGCTTGCTTGCTTTTTCCACTGTAACTTACCAAATATGGAAAAGCCCTTTCTTTCCCACTTTACCGTTATCAGATCTCAGCAGCATTATCTCATGATGGGTGGTATCGTGGTCTCTCTGTTCTGGGATGAGTTCAGCACCTGCGGCTGTGTGAGTGGAGCTCTTCAGTCTTCTGGTTCTTACACACAGGTCCCTCAACAAGACCAGATCCAAAGTCCAGCAACATAGTCACTGAACATGGATATAGGAGAAGCGGAAGATGAAATACAGTTTCTGCGAACTGTAAGTAAAATGGACTGCATTAAAATACAAATGTGAATGCAATGAATGATATCTTGACTATTTCTTTATGCTGAACTGCATTAACTTCAGACAAAAAAGGGCTGATTATTAAACTGCAATTAGATTTGTTATTAGATTGATGTAATGAGATTCTTGGACATAAATATTAGATGCTAACAGATGGGTTGCAAAAAAATATAAGTGAAACATTTTTGGCCATGCATATGGATGCACAGTCCAGCATACGTGAAATTTAGATCTGTACCACAGACATTAACAGTGTTATTTAGTAATTTCAAACTGAGAAATTGCTCATACTGTAACTGTGTATGTATCATTAATTGTTGGATCTATGGGTTTATATATGTGGTTTTATATGTATTTACAGTGTTTGAATTCACATTTGAGAGCGTATGACCCATATCACTGGTGTCTATTTTTACTTTGTGTTATCAGTAACAGAGGAACTGGAGAGTCTGTTGAATGTGTGAGCTATTCACTCTCAGCTCCATATCTCTAAAACAGAGATAAATGGGATACTGTGCTCTCTCTTTCTCACACACATACAGTACACACTTCCACTGATTCACTGTATGTATTTTAGCACATGCGTTTGTAACAGTATCATGCTGGAAATCATTAATTGTTTGACGTTGTGTTAAAGCTAGGCTTTAAAAATGACATGAATGGTTGAATATGTGTGGTTGTGTCTGTGAGACCCACTGGTCAGTGAAACTCATATGACAAGCTGGAGGTGTTGGAATTCTCTATTCACTGACTGATAAGTCAGTCCTAAGTATTCAGTCCTTATAAGGCTACACTGCACTAATGACACAGAAGCACTTCTATTGTCCACACTGTAAGAGAAGCAATTACACTTTATGGGGCTTTTCAAATCACAAATATATATAAAAAAATATTACATTATTTAGTCAATGAATTAATTACATTAAAACATGGAAGACCAACAGTCAAAACAATTTAATATTATTTTACTTTTTTTGTTCATTGTTGCTATCATTGAGGTTTGCGTGTTCAGTTTTGAGGTGTATGTGCTTTTATACAAACCTTTTGAATGTAATGCCTTTGCACCATGTTACATTTTATTGAATACTTGTTTATTTAGCCTTGACAGTGATTTATTGGCTGAATATGATATTTTACATTTAACAAATGAACATTAGCAAAGTAGTGTTACTAAGGTCAATTATCAAATCTCAATGTGTCATATTGCCTTGATTTTTTTTCTAATTTCCTTTTTACAATTTGACATTTATTTAGCCCTATTTATGTATAGATTCTATTATATAGAGTTTATATAAAATATAATACAGTGACAGAGCTCTTCATTTTCCATTTGTTCCATTTGGTGCTATGGAATTCCTACGGGTGCCATAATATGTCATTATAAGCATTCTTCCATTAAAAACCTTAAGTTTAATTTATAATGTGTTTTTTTGATCAGATCTGATAGTAGTCCATATTCTTATTTCTGGTCCCAGTTGTAATGAGTTCAGACTTGCTGTAGCTGCGGTCTGTAATGAGAATGTGTTTTTCAGAGGGATGAGCTGGTATTGAGGTGTTGCTCATCAGGCCCTCATCAGCAGAAACTGTGTTTAGCTGCAGAAGGTTTCGGTGACCGGCTGTGTTATCTTGAGTCCACCTCCAACTCAAAGGTGAGATGCGCATTTGTTTAATAACATTTTTAAACCAAGTTACTATTCTGTGTGTAAGAACAGTCTACCATGTGCATTATCAAACTTCTGAAAAACCTTTCCTCTTGCTTACAGAATGTTCCCGCAGACCTTTCTGTGTGTGTGTTTGTGCTTGACCAGTGTCTGTCTGTCCGAGCGCTGCAGGAGATGCTGGCCAACCATGAAGATCAGTATGCAGGGGTGGGTAATGTAGTCAAAGGTGTACGTATTCATGTTGTAAACAAATGATAACATTTGTGCCGAACACTGTAAAATATCACAGAGTGGTTTCGTTTCAGTCACGTGAGGCAGCTGGGCGTCGTACTCTGCTCTATGGCCAGGCGGTTCTCTTTCGACATGTCTACAGCGACATGGCAAGACCAGTCTTGAATTTACCATGTTATTGCCATGCTGGGACTATGATGTTTTAACTTTAAACCTCTTCTGTCTTGTTTTAGTATCTCTGCTGTCTGTCCACATCAGGCCTCTCCTCTGACAAGCTGGCTTTTGATGTTGGTTTGCAGGAGGACACAAAGGGTAAGTTCATATTCTCCCCCTGTATAGTGTGTAATATGCGTGTGAATGTTTTAATCTTCTGCTATGAATACATGTTTGATAAAGACTAGGGCTGCCATATTATTGGTGTCATGATTGTTGTTTGTATGGTTTTAGGTGAGGTGTGTTGGTGGACGGTTCACCCTGCCTCTAAACAGAGGTCCGAGGGTGAGAAAGTCAGAGTGGGTGATGATCTAATCTTAGTTAGTGTTTCCTCTGAGAGATACCTAGTGAGTAAATCCATTCGTTTGTTACCTGGTTATCTATTTATATATCTGTATACAGGTATTTTTATGCAGTGTGACAACCTGTCTCTCTTTCTAGCATGTGTCGTGGAGTAATCGTGAAGGTAATGACAATGGCATTGGCCGGGTGGATGCTGCTTTCCAGCAGACATTGTGGAGTGTGGCTCTTGTTTCTACTCAGACTGCAGAGACGCAGGGTAGATGACCAATCACACGTTATCAATCATTTAAACATTTGTTTAGTGCCTGTAGATCTTACTGACTGATTTTCATGCTTTGTGACTAAATACATTGGCTAAAAAATTATGCAGTTTTTGTGACCATATGATAAAACCATATGACCATATGTTTTTAGATATATTTCAAAATGGACAAACAAAAAAATTCTAGATACAAATATATATTTGAAATTTATATAGACAATGTACATTTGTGCATATATTTCTATACATTATATATATGGGTGCATTGTAAATACAATATCTATAATAGATCATAAAAAACAGTTATTTTAGTAATATTTTATAATGTAATATTTTTGCTGGAGGTTTGTATAAAATTTGTGTCAGTTTTTCATTTGTTCGATTTTGACCTGTAGGTCATGTGAGAGGAGGGGATACTGTGCGTCTGCTACATGGACACACAGATGAATGTTTGACCATTCCTGCAGCAGAACACAGACGGGAGGAACGCAGGTCAGACAGGTCAAATAACTGATTGAATTACATTTATTACATCCTATTTCACCATTTTCCATCTTTTCCTTCAGATCTGTACATTTTGAGGGGGGCTCGGTATCTCTTCATGCTCGATCTTTATGGAGGCTTGAAACGTTACATGTTGCGTAGGTATTCCTCCAGTTAGTTAGTATATGACGGTTAGACAAAAGTATATATTTATTCCTTCTGTACTGGTCAGATCACAGTAGTGAAGGGTTGTTTGCAGGTGGAGTGGCAGCCACACACACTGGGGTCAGCCTTTCCGTCTTCGCCACCTTTCCACCGGCTTATACCTGGGACTGACTCAGGATCGGGGACTACAGCTGGTGGAGAGAGAAAGAGCTGATGTTAAATGCACTGCGTTCTGTCTCCGTGCATCAAAGGTTGGATAATATCAGCTATAAACACAACATAGCCAGATAAACCACATTTTTGGTTATATTGTATAGTCTGCATCATAATTTTCCTGTCTACACTTTCTCTTAAAGTGTGGTGGGATAATCAATTTTAATTATGATTAATGCAAACGTTATTCTTTCTGTATTTTTATAGGAAGAGAGCCAGGAGAGCTCACACTTTAAGAGGAGAGATTGCATGGGTGCACCTGAGATCAAATATGGAGACTCTCTCTGCTTCATTCAGCACTTTGACACAGGGCTTTGGCTCACATATCAGACCACTGACTCCAAGAGACAGAAGGAAAGTGTGCCACAGAGACAGGTAAACTTGTGTAAATAAATAAAATAAGGTCTAATATCATACTAGATAAGAACACTTACAATACAGAGCATCAGAAATCATTCTAATATGCTCATTTGATGCTCAAGAAACATTTCTTATGGCATTATCAATGTTGAAAACATTGTGATGCTTAATTTGTTTGTGGAAATGGTAAAACAATTTTTTCAGGATTCTTTGATGAATAGAAAGTTCATAAGAACAGCTTTTTTTAAAATAATGTTCTTTTGTAATCAGTTTTAAAATGACTTAATTTATAAATGTATTTACTGTCACTTTTGATCAATTTAATGCACCCTTTCTGAATAAATGAATGAATTAATTAAAAAAGAAATAATAATAATAAAAATCTTACTGACCCCAAAATATTTGAAAGGTAGTGGACATTAGACAGTTCCAGTGAACTCAGGAACTGCAAGTTAATAATCCAAGTTAATAAGCCAAAGCACCTTCCTTTGTATTGGTTCCGTCTGATATGAATTTTGGTTCAAATAATTAAAGGGAAGTGGTTCTCTCTCATAGGCTGTTTTGCAAGCAGAAGGTCACATGGATGATGGAATCACCCTCTCTCGCTCTCAGAGGGAGGAGTCAGAAGCTGCTTGTTTAATTCGAAGCTCCGCCCTTCTCTTCTCAAAATTCATTAGGTAAATATAGAAAATAGTAGAGTGGTAGCAGATGAAATAATATGTGCTTATCAGCTTTGCTTGAGCAGTTAGATATGCAAATGGTTTTAAAAGGCCAAAATGTGTTCAAAGAAGCACATTTATGTTTCGTAATGATTTTTCTTCACTTCTAAAGGGGATTAGATGATGTCAGCCAAAAGGAAAACATCACGAATTTGGATCTTCCAATTGAGATGGTCCATCTGACCCTCCAGGATTTGCTTGGTTATTTTCAATATCCTGAAATGGGGCAGGATCATGAGGTCAGACAGGGAGATATTAGAGCACTGAAAAAAAGACAAAATCTTTTCCAAGATGAGGTAATACCTGCGGCGAATGAGAAACTCATATATCTTGCTACACACTGCAATAATATCTGAACTGTTTACTTTTTTTATTCTGCTTCATTGTGCTTTTCACAGGGTATAATCACTCTGGTGCTGGACTGCATCGATCACTTGCATGTGTACAACAGTGCCACTCATTTTGCAGAGGCTGCTTGGAAAGAGGCAGGAGAGTCTTGGGAAATTATCTTGAACTCTTTTTATGAGCTACTAGGTATAGGATGACTCATGTTTCAAGATTTATAATTCAGGTTTAGCTTTTATTAACAAATTTTCTGTTTCCCCTGCAGCTGCCCTTATCAGGGGTAATCGGAATAACTGTGCCCACTTTTCTGGTTCCTTGGACTGGCTGGTCAGCAGACTGGAGAGGCTGGAGGCTTCCTCTGGTAGATATTTTGCAAAATTGTTTAGCTTGTATTGTGACTAGAATAAGCTGATTTTAGAGTCTAGACATTGTTTTAATGCCTCACCTTCTCATTTGTTACTTTTTTAGGAATATTGGAAGTGTTACACTGTGTTTTAGTAGAAAGTCCTGAAGCTTTGAACGTTATTAAGGAAAGTCACATAAAATCTATAATCTCACTTCTGGACAAACATGGAAGGAACCATAAGGTAACATTTACAGTACCGGGGTCTGCATTTATTTGATCAAAAATACAGGAAAACAGTGTGAAATAATATTATAATTTAAAATAACTGTAAATGTTACACACCTGTAATATATAATATATTTTTTAAATGTAATTTATTCCTGTGACAGCCATTACTTCAGTCTTCAGTGTCACATGATTCTTCAAAATCATTCTAATATGATGTTTTGGTTCTCAAGAAACATTCTTATTATTATGGTGTTGAAAACAGTTGTGCTGCTTAATATTTTTTGTGTAAACCAATCATTTTCTTTTTCTATTTAGGATTTTTGGATGAACAGAAAGTACATAAGAATGCATTTATTTGAAATATAAATATTTTGTCACATTTTAAATGCCTTTACTGTCACTTCTAATTATTTAATGTGTCGTTGCTGATTAATAGTATTACTATATTTTTACAATTCTGAACCCAAACTTTTGATCGTTAGTATATTTATGTGTATTTATTTATTTATCTATCACATCTGCAGACCTTGGATGTGTTGTGTTCACTCTGTGTGTGTCATGGCATGGCCGTCCGCTCTAATCAGCATTTGATTTGTGACACACTGCTGCCAGAAAGAGACCTGCTGCTACAAACAAGACTGGTTAACCAAGTTTTCAGGTGATTTGTTATTTGTAAAATAATAGTGAAGGGCACATTTCGAGGTAATAATTTGCGCATCTAAAAATATTTTTTTAGTCTGTTATAATATAGAAATTGACCAGCTATGAGTATAAATGTTAAAAAATCCTATAGAACATTTGAAATTTTTTTTTTTCTGTTTAGTGTGCGTCCAAACATCTTTCTGTGTGCAAAAGATGACTGTGCCCAATACAAGAAGTGGTATTATGAGGTTGTAGTTGAGAAGGCAGAGCCTTTTGTGACAGCAGAGCCTACTCATCTGCGAGTCGGTTGGGCCAGCACTGAAGGGTACCGTCCCTCCACCACAGGGGGTCACAGCTGGGGGTCAAACGGTGTAGGAGATGACCTCTGCTCTTACGGCTTTGATGGACTCCAGCTCTGGACAGGTGATATGGAGACTAAGCACATGCACTACAGTTCAAATGTTTGAATTTTTTTTAAAGATATCCAGCAAGAATGTGTTAAATTGCTCAAAAATAAACGTTCATTTGAACTGTTTTCAACATTGATTATAATGAAAAATATTTCTTGAACACCAAATCAGCATAAAAGTATGACTTCTGAAGGATCATGTGACACTTAAGACTCCAGAAATGGTTGCTAAAAATTCAGCTTTGCCATCACAGGAATTAATAAAATTTTACAATATATTACAATAGAAAACAGTCATTATAATTGTAATAATATTTCACAATGTTGCTGTTTTTACTGTATTTTTATCAAATAAATGTGAACTCCAAACACTATTGTTTATTCTTTCCTAGGAGGTGTAGGTCAGAGGGTCACCTCACCCAATCAGCACTTGCTAAGGGAGGATGATGTCATTAGTTGCTGTCTTGACCTTAGTGCAATCTGCATCTCTTTCCGGGTCAATGGACAGCCAGTTCAAGGCATGCTGGAGGACTTCAGTGTGGATGGGCTGCTGTTTCCAGTCGTCAGCTTCTCAGCTGGAGTGCAGTGAGTTACCTTTGAATGGATTTTGATTTTGCATGTTGTGTTACTTGTAGGTTTGTTTGGTCATGATTCATCACACAATGAAAAATGTGGTCTATTCTACCCCAATTCTACTTCATTTTATTTTAAATTAACCTCCCCAAGTCAAAATTATGACCTGTACATCCTAAAACAACTTAAATAGTGCACTCTTTTGTTTTTTTTTCATTAGGGTGCGTGTGCTGTTTGGAGGTCGACAGGGGGAGTTTAGGTTTCTTCCTCCAGCTGGTTTCTCTCCATGTGCTGAAGCTCTCCTCCCAAAAACCCGCTGCAAGCTGGGACTGTTTCACAAACTCACACGAAATCACACCGAAAGCCAGCGTGACCTCTTAGGCCCTGTGGTACCTATAAGCCCAGTGACCTTTATCCCCATTCCAGTGGATTCCAGTGAGGTACTATTCAATTTTAAGTACGCTCTGATTATTTTAAATTTAGCACCAGTACATTTATTTCAAGCTACAATCGGTCTTGCATCAACTTGTATGAGTGTCTGACACCCTTGCGCTCAACTCTGCATCTTGTCAGGTTGAATATCCTCCACAGCTGGAGCAGATCAGAGAAATATTAGCAGAAAACCTCCATGAACTCTGGCTTATTGACAAAATAGAGCAGGGGTGGACCTACGGACCTGTAAGTATCTGAGTAACATCTTTTAAGTAGCTCCATCTCATTCTGATGTATATTGAAAATACATCTGTTCTCCTAGGTTAAAGATGAGAGCAGAAAAATACACTTGTGTCTAGTTGAGTTTTCCAAACTTCCAGATCAGGAGCGAATTCATAACCTCCAGTCATCTGAGGATATCCTCAGGTATTCCATTGATTATTGTGCCTAATAAAGTATTAATTAGCTCTTTATTATTAATCATGCTTCTTTTTGTGTTGTGGAAGGACTCTTCTGGCTTTTGGTGTCCATATTGGACTCTCTGATGAACATGCCGAGGAGAATGTGAAATATGTCCGCCTTTCAAATAAGTATATCAGAATAAAGTTCCTCACTAAGACATCTGACTTTTACAGTCTGCATGAATGTAACAGTGAATTGTTGCATGTTAAATGAATCCTGATTACATCATCTGTCCAGGTATGAGTTATGGAATGGATATAAACCAGCCCCGGTGGATCAGTCCCGTGTCGTGCTAACAGCTGCACAGGAAGAGCTGGTGGACAAACTGGCTGAGAATGAACACAACATCTGGGCCAGAGAGCGTATCAGGCAGGGCTGGAGCTGTGGACCACAGCAGGTGGAAATTAAAGTATTTGTATGAAAACAAATGATATAAATCGTGGGAATTCTTTGGCACTGAATCACTGTCACTGAAATGCCAAATTTGTCTACTTGAGACCATCAATATTACCATGAGGAAATTGTTTCTCAATGTATATTTCTATGTTTTAGGATGTAATGTATAAGAGAAGTACTCAACTAGTGCCATTTTCCCTGTTGGACGAGAAGACCAAACAGGCTGGTAGAGATGCCATGAAGGACGCACTGGGTACCCTTCTTGGTTTTGGATATACTGTGGAACCGCTGGAGCAAGAACATGGTGGGAGCATTATCATTTTATAGAGTTATGAAGTATAGTCTGGAGAATTACCATTTGGGCAGTTGGTTAAATTTCAAACTTACTAACAAAGTTTACTTTTAGAACATAAAAATGTATACTTTTATTCAGCAAGGAAACATTAAATTGGTAAGTGACAGTAAGGACTTTTACATTATAACAAAAAAGTAAGAAATGTTTCTTGAGAACCAAATCAGCATATTAAAATTATTTCTGAAGGATTATGTGACCCTGAAGACTGGAATAGCTGCTCAAAATTAAGGAATAATTTACATTTAAAAAATCTTGAAATAGAATGCAGCCACTCTAAATTGTAAAAATATTTGACAGTGTTAATGTTTTTAATGTATTTTTGATCAAATAAATGCAAGGTGAGCAGAAGTGACTTATTTTAAAAACATTAAAAAACCTTACCAACCCCAAACTTTTGATGGTAGTGTATGTTAATCAAACCTGAACACTGTTGTGTTTTTCCCTCCCATAGCTTCAAGCAGCAATATTAAGTCTGTGACTGCAGAGAGATTTCGGATTTTCCGTCTGGAGCAGCTCTTCGCAGTGCATGATGGAAAATGGTACTTTGAGTTTGAGGCCATAACTGATGGAGAGATGAGAGTGGGCTGGGCACGACCTGGGTGTAAACCCGACGTGGATCTTGGGTCAGACAATCAGGCCTTCGTGTTTGATGGTTCTAAGGTATTTCAGTAATAATTTATTATGTCAAAGCAAATTGTACTGAGATCATAACCATGTTTTGACTCTGAGTTGCCTTTAGGAACAGTTAAGGATCATAAAATAAAAAAGATGACAGATTATATATCTTTTTTTTTTGTTGCATGTCATGCTTTAGGGACAGTGGTGGCATGGTGGGGCAGAGCGATTGGGTGGCAGCTGGAAGAGGGGGGATGTAATTGGCTGTTTGTTGGACCTGACTACATGCACTATGATGGTTACTCTTAATGGAGAGCTACTGCTAAACAGTCGTGGTTCTGAAGTGGCTGTAAAAGACTTCAATAAATCTGACGGTGAGTTCTCTTTGATCATTTTCCATTCTGTTTTGACACAAATTTATCAAATATATTTAAAAGATATATATAAAGGTGTACTTTTCTGCTTTGTGTAACATACATTTCTCACTGTTTTCTCTCTGATGAATTCTAGGTTTTCTGCCTGTCTGTAGCATAGGGATCAACCAGGTGGGTTGTTTAAATTTGGGTCGTCAGGTTGACTCACTAAAATACTTCAGTGTTTGTGGCCTACAAGAGGGATACCAGCCCTTTGGTTTGAACATGAGCAAAGAGATACCACTATGGATGAGCTGGAGAGAGCCTTTGTTCATTTCTATATCCAATGACCATCCTAACATACAGGTTAGTTAATTTACATCAAGTGTGGGTGATACATTTGTAGATAAATAATATTTTTGCAGATAAACCGAATGCTTGTTTGAATTTAATTTAATTTAATTTAATTTAATTTAATTTAATTTAATTTAATTTAATTTTATT